AGTTCTAGGATACCTCCACTGATTATTTTAGAAGAAAGAAATTCCCATTATGTTTAAGTTGCTAATATTTTTATGGCCACTCCTAGTATCACTTTTAAACACACCTAATTCTGACTGATCTATCCATCTCTATCTATCTATCTATCCAAGTTTTCATTGTCTTGTCCCACAAGAATAATGCCCTCCAATTTATATTCTTATCTTTTCCCAACTCCAACAAACTGTCAGTTTTATTTATTCCTTTAAAATACACTTTAGTTGGGTGCAGTGGCACACACCTATAATCCCAGCAAGCTCAGGAGGCTGAGACAGGTAGATCGTGAGTTCAAAGCCAGCCTCAGCAAAAACGAGGTGCTAAGCAACCAGTGAGACCCTGTCTCTAAATATAATACAAAATAGGGATGTGGCTGGGATGTGGCTCAGTGGTTGAGTGCCACTGAGTTCAATCCCCGATACCAAACAAGAGTACACTTTAGATTCAAATACTTACATGGAAACAGTTAGTATGACTATTTACTTAAACTTTTTTTTAAATTTTATTTATTTTATTCATTTTAGTTGTTGACAAACCTTTATTTTTTATTTATATATGGTGCTGAGAATCGAACCCAGTGCCTCACACATTCAAGGCAAGTGCTCTGCCACTGAGCCACAACCCCAGCTCCAACTTAGTTACTCTTTTCTGAACACAAATATATATATATATATATATGCATCTACCAGATAGACAATGAATATATAAAATACAAATAATCTTAACAGATTTTTAAACAAATTTACAGTAATTTTTTTTATTTGTTCTAATTAGTTATACGTGACAGCAGAATGCATTTTGGTTCATTGTGCACAAATGGAGCACACCTTTTCATTTCTCTGGTAGTATACGATGTAGAGTTGCACCATATGTGCAGTCATACATGTACCTAGGGTAATAATGTCTGTTTCATTCCATCATCTTTCCTGACCCCATGTCCCCTCCCTGCTCCTCCCTTCCCTTTGCCCAAAGTTCCTCCACTCATCCCATGCCACCTCCTATTATGGATCAGCATTCACATATCAGGGAGAACATTTGGCCTTTGGTTTTTGGGGACTGGCTTACTTCGCTTAGCATGATATTCTCCAACTTCATCCATTTACCTGCAAATGCCATAATTTTATTCTCTTTTAAAGCTGAGTAATATTCCATTGTGTTTATATATCATAGTTTCTTTATCTGTTCATCTATTGAAGGGCATCTAGGTTGGTTCCACAGTTTGGCTAATGTGAATTGAGCTTCCATAAATACTCATGTGACTCTGTCACTATAGTATGCTGATTTTAAATCCTTTGGATATAGACTCAGGAGTGGGGTAGCTGGGTCAAATGGTGGTTCCATTTCAAGTTTCTTAAGGAACCTCCAACTCCAGACTGCAACTCCAGAGTGATTGCACCAATTTGCCGTCCCACCAGCAATGTATGAGTGTACCTTTTTTCCCCCGCATCCTTGCCAACACTTATTGTTGCTTGTATTCTTGATAATTGCCATTCTGACTGAAGTGAGATGGAATCTTAGAGTAGTTTTGATTTGCATTTCTCTAATTACTAGTGAAGTTGAATGTTTTTTCATATATTTGTTGACTGACTGTATATCTTTTGTGAAGTATCTGTTCATTTCCTTAGCCCATTTATTGATTGGGTTATTTATTCTTTTGGTGTTGAGTTTTTTGGCTCTTTATATATCCTGGAAATTAGTGCTCTATTTGATGTGCATATAGTAAAGACATTCTCCCACTTTGTGAGCTCTTTCTTCACATTATTTTTATTGTTTCCTTTGTTGAGAAGCTTTTTAGTTTGAGTCCATCCCATTTATTAATTCTTGATTTTATTTCTTGTGCTTTAGAATAAGGAAGTCAGGACCTAATGCAACATGATGAAGATTTGGGCCTACTTTTTCTTCCATTAGGCACAGGGTCTCTGGTCTAATTCCTAGGTCCTTAATCCACTTTGAGTTGAGTTTTGTGCAAGGTGAGAAAAAGTGGCTTAATTTCAATTTGCTGCACATGGATTTTCAGTTTTCCCAGCAGCATTTATTGAAGAGGCTGTCTTTTCGCCAATTTGTTTTCTGTGCCTTTACATCCAAACATTCACTATTCACTCTAAGTAGTACTTTATATAGATTTAATTCAATGATACCATCATGGGCCAAAACACTCTTGGAAAAATTTTTATGTGAAACAGACTTGAAAGCACACAGCGTACCTCAAGATATAACTTCCATGAGAGCAGAAATACACCCAATTTACTTACCTTCCCTAGAAAAGTGTCTGATAGTATCTGGAAGACAGTAAGTGCTATTTATTTATTTCAATGCATGTTTATTGTATTAAACAAATAAACTGTGACAAAACATGATTTTTTTTAAATGTTAAAAATCACTCAGAGCCCAGCCTGGTATATAAGATGTGTCATAAAGCTGGGGAGTATCAATTTGGGTTAAAAAAAAAAAAAAGCTTCAATCTAGGACTACAAGGCAATAAACTATAGTTTCTTATAAGACTCATAAAAATGGCTCAGAAATGAGTAAGCACTATAGTGATTTAGGGACTCACTTCCTAAACTCACAACTTCCCATGCCACATCTGCTCTAGTGTCAAAGCATTTGCCTGCTGTGCATGGATTACTCCTATACTGCCCTCCAGGTCTGTTTAAATACTTAGCTCCTCCAGAAGCCCTCCCCTCTCTACCTACCCTAAAACATAGCCATCTCTGTTGCTCTGTTCCCTGACCTATTTTCCCCTTCTTTATAAGACTTGCTATATTTTATATCTATTTTGTTTATGTGTGTTTAGTATCTGTCTCTGTCACTAAAGTGACAGTTCCACAATTAAAGGAACTTTTTTTTTTTGAGATGAGGTCTTGCTATGTTGCCCAGTCTGGGCTCAAACTCCTGGGCTCAAGTGATCCTCCTGCCTCAGCTTTCCTAATAGCTGGGATTATAGGTACATGCCCTCCACACTTGGCTTTGAAGGGAACTTTATCTCATTCACTGCTATAGTTCCAAATTTCTGCTGGATATCTAAATTTCAAATAATAACATTCAATAATTATGTGTTTATAATAAAAGAGGAAGGAAATGAGATAAGTAATGGAAGAAGGAAGAACAAGAAGGTGATAAAGAAGTAGCAAAGGGATAAGAAACTCTGGATGAGTCATAATTGGTTATTTTACTCTGCTGTTCATGTCAGTCTGAATTCAAACCTTCATGAGAAAATTTCAGAATGGGTCACTATCTCTTTTGGAGATTTATTTCAAAAGAAATGGGTCCCCTAAAGAAGTTCCACTACTTTAAGAAGCATCTGGATGGCATTTATTGTTATAATTACAATGGCGACTTCTTTGAATGCCTTTCTACTTTCCAATCCATAAATAAGTCTTGAATAAACATGTAAGAACTCTTGACTAAGTCAGAAAAGCACGATTGGAGGGGTAGGATTGGTTTGTATTGATATTACTAATAATATTTTTAAATTTCCACATTCAACTGACACTTGGAATGAGCTATTTATATTTATATGAGCTATTAGCTGCTGGGATTACAGGCACGCAACACCATGCCCAGCTTCAGGATCTTAATAGATGTCTTAGTCTGCTTGGGCAGCTAATAACAAAGTACCATAAAATGGGTGGCTTAAAGAAACAGACTTTCATTTCTAGAGGCTAGAAGTATGAGATCAGGGTGATAGCATGGTCAGGTTCTGGGGAGAACCCTCTTCTGGGTTACAAACTTCCGACTTGTTGTGACTTCCAACAGCAAAAAGAGGGTGAGTGGAGCTCTCTGGGGTCTCTTTCATAAGGGCACTAATCCCATTCATGAGGGTTCTACCCTCATGGCCTAATCATCTCCCAGGGCCATCACCTCGTTACACTGAGGATTAGAGTTCAACATATGAACTTGGTGGCAGGCAGCAGCATAAACACTCAGTCCATAACCACAGACTCACATGTAAAACTAGGAGGCAAACCCCTACTCCTACTGTGTCCTCATTTGTGGCACCAAGCTTAATTCCTTTCAAGGGACAGTTATCAAATTCATACTTCATTAATATTTTTGCTTCCTCAAACTGTCCATTCCTTATGTACAACCTACCAACAAAGTTTGTATTAGAGAAGTTAGGGCAAAATGATATTCCTTTATATTCTATCAATTTGTTAGAAAAGATCACTCTATTTTCTCCTGATTTTTATTATAGTATTATAAATAAGTCCCTTTTTAAAAAAGTTCAATAGTCTAGATTTGAAGTTTAAGGCAAAATGAAAGGTCCAAAGTATTACCTTGGAAGAATGTTTGGATTATTTTTAGAGTTGTGAGGTATACTTTAGGAAATATCAGTTTCTTGATGTATAGGATCAGATGGTGTTGTGTACATATGCCAAGACACAGATCTTAGAAAACAGTACTCTTTCACATTCCAGTTATGAATCAAATAAATTAAAATTGACTCATGATGTCAAATAGAATAGTCACTAGTTAATGTTATTTAAGCTCAAAAACATTTTATTTGACTCTAAGATAAAAGCAATCTGAAGTCATAAAATATTCTATTACACATTCTTCATCTTTGTTCTCTATAGTATAAAGTCTGATACCATAATATTAGTACTAATATAGTATTAATAATTTGGCCCAAGCATGGTGGTGCATGCCTGTAATCCCAGCGACTTGGGAGGCTGAGGCAGGAGGATCACAAGTTCAAAGCCAGTCTCAGCAAAAGTGAGGCACTAAGCAACTCAGCAAGACCCTGTTTCTAAATAAAATACAAAAAAGGGCTGGGGATATGGCTCAGTGGTTAAGTGCCTCTGGGTTCAACTGCAGGTACCAATTAATAATAATAATAATAATAATAATAATAATAATAATTTGGTACTAAAATATTTTATATTTTTAAACTGTTCTTAGATGATATCTATTGCATTTTAGACGAGCATTCATTATACGCAATTTTACTACGTAGTCTTGCCACCTTAAGAAGCTGGTGCTTCTTCTCTGAAGCAGGAATTTCTGGTGTGGGGGCAGATGCACATGCTGTTGGTGAGTTACCTGTACTAGGTAATCTTTTAGGAAATGTCATGGAGTAGGAAGTGCGTCGTCTAGTCCGACATGCCACTTCCCTCTCTTTATACAGCATCTGTTCATCCATTAGCAATGTTATGACTTGCTTAGACTTTTCCCTGATATGATAACCTGAAAAAAAAACATTGAATTTGCTTAGAAAAGAAAATACTGGTTAATGATATAATTCATTTTTATTCTTAAGAAAATTAAGGAAAAATGAAAATGTGACCAAAAGTGGTAAAACCTGTAGCAAATAAAAACTGTCACTATACTTCTTTTCATATATTTTAAGAAGTAAATAAATTATTAATCTATGATGAATTATATCATACATTGGCATTACCTTCATCATACTAAATATTGAATTTTCTTTTTAAAAACCACGAATACTCTGCAATACATCCAACAATACAGGCATACAAAGGAAAAGTATTAATTAGATCTAGATGTACTGACCTAGATGTATGACAACATATGGCTAAAGACTGAAGTCATATACATTGTAATGAGCAGGGGGAACAACCCACTGTGTAGGGACATGGAAGACAGCTGTAGATAGAGAAATCCACACTCTGCAATGGTTTGAATGTGTCCCCTCCAAAATTCCAGTGTTGCCAATGAGATAGTATTAGGGGTAACACCTCTGAGATATGATTAGGCCATGATGGCTCCTCCCTCATGACTGGCATCAAAGCCCTTATAAAAGAGACTTCAGGCAAGTAGTCTCTTGCTTACCTCTGCCTTCCCCCACATAAAGACACAGGGCCCCCCTCCCCTGTGGGGGTTGCAGGACCAAAGCAGTGTCTTGGAAGCAGAGAGCAGCCCTCACCAGAACTGATCCTACTGGTGCCTCAACCCTGGCCCTTCCAGCCTCCATGACTGTGAGAGAATTAATTTCTGTGCTTTTTTTAAAAATATTTTTAGTTGTAGAAGGACATAACACCTTTATTTTATTTATTTATTTTTATGTGGTGCTAAGGATGGAACCCAGTGCCTCACACGTGTGAGGCAAGCGCTCTACTACTGAGCCACAACCGCAGCCTCTAATTTCTGTGCTTTATAAATTATTCAGTCTGCAACTGGTTATAGCAGTACAAACAAACAGACTAGGACAGATGGATGTGTAGACAGGCAGGCAGGCAGACTGGGTAATGACAACACTGCTAATATCCTTTCCGTAGAAAGGAATAATAGGGATAGGACAAGAAAAGAAGTGAAACTGGCTTTTCTTTGACATAATATCCTATGAAACAATGTGATGTTGTTATTAAAATTGACAGAGCACAATCAAAGACCCGAATTCTAGCAATGGTTCTGCCCTTAACCACTGAGTGTGAGCCAGTCAGGTGGTCTGTCTAGCCCTGAATCTAACAAAAAGGCAGTACAAACATATGCGTTCAATCTGCTTTACAGATATAAAAGTACACCATCATCTATGAATCATTCAAATATGAGGTATCAGTGTCATTCTTAACCCTCTCCATGAGAAATAATAAAGGAAATCACTCACCTCTCCACATCTCAGGACCAACTCACAGAAATAGCTCATGCCTTCTGAAAAGCCCCTAAAAATCCACTAATGTTCACTTTGGGCTCCATGTGTGATGAATGAAAGTATTAACATTTCCAGCTAGCAGTGGAAGTGGTGAGAAATAGTCAAATCCAGGATATATTTAAATAATGGAGGCCAAAGATGTTCTCTAACTGCCAGAGGCTTCATTAAGGATTGATAAGGACAGTGTCAGAAACCTTTGTTCATATTGCCATCTTTCCCAAGATTATTTTAGCTAATATTACTTCACAGTCATTTCTTCCTTCCAAACTTCTTTTTTAACTGCTTCAACCCTATCATTCTAAACATCCTTAATTTCCTATGATTAATTTATAGTTCCTAACCAAAAAAAATTCCACGTTTTTGGGTTACCACCCAGTATCACAAGAAAGACAAGAAAGATAGGAGCATCCCACTCAAGTGTCTGCTATGAATTTTATCCACTGGGTATAATGTGTCAGACACTATCTTCCCTTGGATATTGACAATTTGATTTTGGAGGCATGCAAAATATATTTTCACATTTTTGAAGGTATAATTATTGTATTTTTAATTAATTAATTAATTAATTAATTTTATTTTCACATTCTTAACTTTTGGAGCTTGTCTTCTTCCCCTTCTCCCCAGTCCCTCCCCCTAATTCAGCCACCCTGGTGCCTTATCCTGCAACCACTGTATTCAGCTCCTACAGCCCTGTGTTGCTGCTGCTTCTGCCATGAACTCTTTGTATGGCTAGATCCTTGGTTCACTCAGATCTCTACTTAAACCTCCACCTCCTCACAGCCACTTCTGTCTACTCTCTCTGAAATGGTCCTACCCATCTCTCTCTATTCCTTCACCCTGCTTTTTCACCCTGGCACTTTTTACTGCTTAGTACTGTATATTTATTTGTTTACTTCTTGTTTCCTCATCTAAAATATGAGCTCCACAAAGGCATAGAAGTCTCATTCTAGAAACTAGTAACAGTATCTGGAGAGTGGAAGCCACAGAGCATATGCTCAATAAGTATTTACTAAGTCAATGATACAAAGAAAGAAACAAATTACCAAAAAGTCTCCAATTTTCTCCTTGATAGAGTATAAATGAAACCAGATTGATGAAAAATACTGATGACCAATTTATAATTTAGCTGTCTAATACAGTTGTTTGATCTAACATAATTTCTTGAAAAACCTCTAACTAGAAACTAGAAATTATGGAACAAGTAGAATATGCTATTTGTAGAGGACTGGTGGGGTTGAGGGCAGATCAACAGTTCTAAGGGACAAGGAGGGATATACCAAGCAGAAAAGCAGCTACAGGGGTGTAGACTCCCCATGGAAGACCAGGGCTTCTTCCTAAGGTAGCAGGCACAGCATCAGGAAGCTTGGGCCAGAGCAGCTTACCAGAAATAGGGAATAAATTGCCTGAGTGAGCATCTTACCAAGTTCTGCCACTACTGTGGCTGCTGCTCTGTTACCCTAGAGATGCTCAGTACTCAATACTGGCTGTTTTAAAGCATCAAAGTTGAAAATCTAAGAAGTACCCAGTAAAACTGCTTCCATAGTTAAATAAACAACAGTAATAATAAGATGGCATCTATTCGCTTCCGACCAATATACTTCTGAAAAGAAAGGAAAGAGTACACAGTACTAAAACAAAATAGTATTGGAAGCAGAATAAATTCAGGAAGCAACTTCTTTGCATTGAAAAATATAAAAGGGGGAAGGGAGGCAGAAAACATGTGTTTCTGAAATAAGAAACTATGCAACAGATCAATACTTAACGATATTATCTAAAATGCACAAGATGAAAAGGTTAGTTGAGGTACAATTTAAAGTGAAAATAAAGTTGTATACTGTTTTAATTAGGAATCTTTTGGCTCTAAGTGACAGAAATTCAATTTGAACTGGGTAAGGCAAAAGTCATGGAAAAACCAGAGGTTGTGATTAAGTCTCAGGCACAAATGAAGCAGAGACCAGAAAATTACCAGGACTCTCTTTCCCTCTCCCATTTCTACTCCTGTCTGTGTCATGGCTTCATTTTCTCTTCTTGCAGATTGGCCTTCTCTACTGGAATGTGGATACAGTCATCAATAGCTCCAGATTCACATCACACACTCTGCAACCTAAGTGTCCCTCTTCCTTCCTTTCAATATGAAGTACCCAGAAGAATGACCCTGATTGAAACAGGGCACAAGTAAGAAAAAGAGAGGAAAAAGTCCCTATACTTGTGGTACTTATATTCTAGTTGGCTGAAATATATAATAAGCATAAATTAGGTAATTTAAAATAAAAATGTTCTTTAAAAAGTAAAGATAGGTGATGTGCTAAACATTAATTTGGGATGCAATCATGAAAAGTCATACTGAGGAGATAACATAGCTGAGTCTTGAACAGTAGGGAAAAGCCAGCCATGCAAGGGCAAAAGAGCAGAGAGTGCAGGCACTAGTCACAGCTCCAAGGTCACTCTTCAGGAAAATATTCCCCCGACAGCCAACATACCACCCACCCACCCTGCACACTAAGCTGGGTCTCAGACTTGGTCAGGCTGTCTCGGAGCACCTCATACTTGATTGTCTTATAGTAGTACTTGTAGTCTGTAATTGTGCATTTGATAAATGTCTTTTCCCTCCATTAGACTATAACATTCATGAAGGCCAAAACTATACTTGTTTAAGAGACATTAAAGAAAAGTACATGACAGAAAACATCCTGAGGAAATATTTTCCAAATACTGAGGAGGAATCTATATAAGTTTACAACTGAACATCATGTAAAGAGATTTGGAAATTTGATAAATTTAAAGGTCATGAGCACTGACATGCAGCACTAGTAAAGACACATACTGTGAGATCTTTAGGAAAAACAGATATTAGCCTTTATATTAGTTATAAAACGTCTTAATATTCCTGTCTCTATTCCTGACCCATTGTCCCACCAAAATCTACTTTTCTTTCCATATTCCTTTCTCAGTGAATTATACCCCTATTCTAAGTTAAAAATATGAACATATATAGCCCCTAATTCAATTATCCAAGTCTATCAATTACATCCTCTAAATATATTCTGAAGTCATTCTCTTCTTAGTTCAGACCCTGTCATTTGTTACCTATGGTCTCCAATTTATCTATCTTTAGTCTCCCTCTTTTCTACCCTCCACAATATCTCTCCAGGCAGAAGACCTGAGGGTAGGAGGAAGGGGAGGAGCATCTAAAATATCTGATCAAATTATTTTCAAATTAATTTAAAAAAAGCCTATAGTCAAGTTGGCCTGGTAAATTCATACCTCAAAGTACAGTTCTACTCTGCTCCAAACACACAGCAATAATAGACATGATGAATCTCAAAAACAAGATAACAACCTCCACGAAGCTGAAATACAAGGGAAACGAGAAAGCAGCAAACACTGCTGAAGCCACAGGGCTGCTGGGCTCTTGATGTGGCAGCTAGAAGTTTAGTTTCTCAGATGTTAGGGAACCAGAGATGGTTTCCTTCACTGATGCTAGAAGGGTTCTGTGCTGAGAAAAAGAGAGAAAGGAGGAAAAAAGCCCCTATCTGCTTCCTGGGCTATTAACTCATATGTAGCTATGTGGCTA